AGATAAAGTTAAAAGGACAGCGACCTCCAAATACTTCCCAGGCATACTGATAGCCCATGGAATGGAACTTATATCCAGAGGCCTGAGAAACACAAGCGAGTGTTTGCTTTGGTTTTGGGGGCTTTTTGTTTGTTTGTTTCAATTAAGTTTATCTTAGCAAAGAAATGTATCTTCTCAAATTTGATTAACAATACTGAAAAAAAGCAAACAAGAAAAGCTAACCCGTTTCTCCCTGCAAAGCTCCTCTCAAAAGGAAAACATTTCCACCAACATCTTCAATTGAACATTATTTTACGTTTTGAAATGCTTCATGGTTTCTAGATACATCTGAATGTAATAAAAACGCTTAAAAATACAATGGAACGAAACACTTCGGACAAACCAAGGGTTGGTTTGTTGTTTTCTTTTCATTTTGGCTAGCAACCCCCCCAATCGATTACTCCTACAGCTCTTCTGCTGAGCGCCGGCAGATGGTATTGATCTAGCAGGGCTTTGAAAATGTAAAGCAATATAGCATTGTTTTATGGCATCCAAATTACAGAGCTCACCCTAAGACATGCTGAGATACCTTAACTAGCTTCATCAAAAAAGTCATGAAACCTTTTTGATGTTCCTCCCATTTCCAAACCCGTCACTGTGATTCAGTTACTGGGGACTGCCCAGTTAATGCTGGGGTAGCAGCCAGTGGCTGTGATGGGGAGCCTCGTGTGTATGTGTTGCAACAAAACCAAAGCCAAATTTTAGCTACAAACATACTTTTGGGACCTTGCACTGTTCTCTCTTGTCCACTTAAATACCTACAGCCACTCATCACGTCGTTACATGGGCCCCGAATGCCATGTTCCCATAGCAATGTTTACTCTTACATTATTTTTTCTGTAGAGCTTCGCAGGTAGAACGGTTGACACACAACCATCGTTAGGCTTTTGATTACAAAAGCCGTGGAAATAATGAGGGAAACCCCTTCCCGCACAGGGTCATCATGTCAGAAATATGCTAACAACCCAGTTAGGTTTCTACTAGTTCTTGCACTGATTTAGGGCATGTAAGTGAACAAATGGGGAAGGTGAGGAAAAAAAAAAAAAACACAACAAAAGGAAAAGAACTGAAAACTTGTAACGGAGAAGGCACCATAAATACGGCAGGACTGGCTTCAGGGGGGCTCAGGCATCTACTGCTCCAGGAGCAGAATATATGACAGAAGCAAATGTTTGATTTGCATTTATTCTGGTTTTCAATCCAGCAAATTCCCGAGCTCCAGACGAACATTTATTTCCCAAATTTCCAGCACTCAGCACGCACTTCATCACAGGAGGCAATCACATCATTATGCTGCTTAACAAAATGTAACGCCAGGATGCACTGACCTGACAAAACAGCGACTCCCTGCTGAAACCATGCTGCAAGAAACACACATTTCATTTTCACCTTGGGGCACTGGGGTGGGGGGAAGCCCAGATTTGTATGCTGAATCTCCAGCTCATATTAAACTAAAAATTGGGGCAATACATGGCGATGCCCAATTTGTTCTGTGCAAGCTGTATGCAGCCTATTTTATGATGCTGAAAATCCTTGTTAATCATTTGGACTCGTTTTCAGGATGAATTTCTTGCAACATTTGAACAGTAGGAAGCTCTTTATTTGGCATCATTAAGAAGAAGAAAAAACTCCTCAACAACTAATGTATGCAAGCCAACATCATTTCACTTTTAGCTGCCAGCTCTTTAAATATGGATGTTTCCAAGTAGCAAATTATTAGAGTGAACTACAGTTGAAAGGATAAAGGTCTGGATGCAGACAGACATTTCTGTAGTAAAATCCACAATTTTTAAGACCAAGACAACCAGTGGATAGGAAAGGATTCCCCTCTAATTCACTATTTTTCTAACTGGAAAAGGGCATAAATACTCATGCCTCACCTCTGCAGAGCAACAGCTACTCTCAGATTGCGTAATTTTGCTTCTAAATTTTTTTAAGGTGTCCTTTTCAATGGAGAACAGAAACTAAAGTAAAAGATAAAAAAAAAAAAACAAGAAGAAAAAAAAGTAGATTACTTTCCCCCCAGATAGTCCTACACTTCAGCATTGGTCATTAATGTCCCCAGGCACTTTTTGCAAGGATGATGAAGTTAGGTTTTCTATCCTAATCAAATTTCAAAATAAGTAATTGCATTTTCTCTTATCTTAATGCCACTCACACTTTCAATGAGATGCATTATTTTTCCCTGCTAACCTGAACGTTTTTTACTGTTGCACTACAATGTTAAATACTTGCAATGTTATACCCGGGCGGTGGGATATCGGGGCATTGGAAGGAACTGATCTCTGCAGCTTTGCTTTGCAAACACTGCCTTGGACCCTGGGGATGGAAGCTGCCCATGAAACACAGTGGTTTTCCGACGTGCAGCTACTTCCCAGTGACATCTGATATTCTCTTATGAACCTCCATCTGCCCAGAGCTGGAACAGGAGATAGCTGTGGTAATTGCGCAGTGACTGCTAGAGACCAAATAGCTTCAATTACACTGGGAGACACGCAGTTGGCTAATGGAGACGCGACGCACACGACTGAAAAGCATTAATTTTGCAAGTTGTGACTTTTAAAACTCATCCCTCTTTCTAACCTTAGGAGGAAGGAAGAGAAAAAGAAAGTATTGCCACAGATAAGATTAATTCCTGCATAAAAAGGGTTTCAGCCTGAATTAACTGGACCTATTTTGACTTTTCACTAAATAACTTCCATGCAAACCAGAAAATAACAACCGGCATAACTCCAGCCCAGCTTAGTTACAAAACTGCAACAGTATCAATTTGGATTAATTGTGGATCTGGCTATAATTAAGATCATTTTCTAGCTGGAATAGAGCAGGTCATAGATGGTAGTCAGGAAGTCATTGTATCCCAATTAATTTGGGATAGGATGAAGGTGAGCACCACTCTTCAGCCTCCTTCAAGGCACTCAGATGAACGGGCTTTAAGGATCACGAAGCATTTCCGTCCCAGATCTCCCCTCATTTGGTTGTGGTTTGTTTTTTTTTTTTTGCTATGGAGATGCAGCTAAAACCAATGCTTCAACCACAGCACTTGAGTGTGCAAATGAGCTCGTGGCTGATCCACAACCTGCCTTCGGTGGGTTTTAAGATCTAGCGTTGGCAGCTCCTTCATCAGAGGCAGCAATGAGACCCACCTGAAGGGGCTAAGGTGGCAAGCTCCATCCCTGCTGACCAGAGGCCATGTATTTTGAGGTAAAGTTAACAAGACACGAGCCGCTCTCATGAAAGATAGATGCTGTGATAACGAGTAATTTTGTGGACTTGATATCACAGGTGCAAGAACTACCTTCAAGTCATGAACATCAGAAATCTCAGATATTGAAACTCTCATGATAATTTCTGAACTAAAAGGAAAAATGGCATCGGAAGTCAAAAGGAGAGAGAAGCCCTCGCTGAATAAATTAAGTGGGTGGGTATATTTGCCACATAGCTCCTTCCTCACAGTATGTAAAGGCAAGTTTTCCTGTTGGTCTGCCCTCCAGGTGGTCAGACCAAGCGGAAGAAGCTCCGTAAGCACTTGTCTCCTCCTATCTGAGCGATAAGAGCAGCCTCATGGCAAACGGCTCGCCAGGCAATTTTCATCCCGCTGATGAGGGAAGACAGATTTCAAATCAGGATCACAAATTTCTTTAAAAGGGACACAGATCCATGAAAGATAACCGCTTGTTCGTGACGTACCAAACGACCCCCCGATGAAAGAGCCAGCCACAACAGCAGGTTGTTGATGGCGGTGGTTGGCGGCACAACACACGGCACTTGTCGGACACACGCAGGCCATGCCTGGAACGGCATCCGGCACAAAGAGACACTGACTCCCTTTCTAAAACTTTTTTTTATATGAATGTAACAGTGCAACACAGCTCAGGAAGTCAGCCCACAAACATAGGACTGACACATTTAAAACAAATTTGTGCTAAATTGAAAGAATTATCTTTTCTAAACATTTATAGCACCCTCTTTGAAGCAAACTGCACCAAAGTACTTGCTACATTATTTATTATAATTGGCTATTTGTAAACTTTGCTTCGAATCTATTATATTTTTTTCCTACCAAATTTTGCCTTTGCCACTGAGAAAACACTGGCTTTCTTAGTGCCAGTAATACAAATTGCTCACAACCCTCCTCGCACGAACACTGGAGCTGATGATGCTGGCTCTGCTCAGGGAAAGGCCTTTGCCGGGTACCACATGCTGCCAGAAGAGACCCTTGCAGGGCAGACCCAGGCAGCAGCTAGCGTGGTCTTTCCTTTCATCTCCTCATTAACTACTTTGTAACATAAAGAAACATATTGAGAATCCGGAGAACACCAGAAACTTTGGTGTTACAATTCAGAAGCTAGCTGAGCGTTTGGTGTTCTCCGGATTCTCAATATATTTATACAATCCTTTTGCTGTACTCAATATCTTAAGACAATCTAGAGTAGAAATCTGTAAATATTCTCCACGTCCACAAGAGCCGACCTATCCCTCCCAGCCCCCCTGCCCCGAGTGGGTGCGCTGTGCCGTTGACTCTCCACTCCTCAGGATAACATAGGTTAGAAATGTGGCTACGGAAAACGCTCCGGGAATACAGAAGAGCGTGACACAAATGCGTGAAGGACTCGGGGCTCATCCAGCCCAAGAAGATACACTCAGGGCACATACAGAAAGGCTTCAAAAAGTTGCACAAGATCTTGGCCACATCTTCTATATATGCACACACTGCTTTAGTTTGCACCAGTTCATCTCTTAAGTGCATAGTAAAATAAGGGTCTTTCTTGGCACCTGCACCCAACTGGAGATCTCCCGGTCAACAGGACCACCCAGCATGACCCATTCAATCAGGCTGGCACCACCACAGCCCTCTCCTTTAAGACGTGCCAATTTAAACTTCCTGAAACACACACCGGTAACAAAAACCTCACAAATTGCTGCTGAGTGCTGAGAGTAAGAGAAGGAAACCACTTTACCTCCAGAATGCGGTGGTGGTCCACACAGCAGCACCATGCCCTGGCCCTGGCGGACAGACACCGTGCTTCTTGTTCTGGTTTTGAAGTTCTCAAGATCTGCCAAGAGAGAAAGAACTCAATTAAAGGGAGTACAATGGGTTTTTTTCCTCATGAGAAGGACAGAAGGTTCATTAGGACTTTGCTGCGGGACAGAGAAACAAAGTGAAGGTCGGCTTGGAAGGTGGGTTGGTGGGCGCTGGGTGGAACGCGGTGAGGCTGCTGTGGCTGCCAACCATAAGAAGCAGCAAAAACACCTCCACAGGGCACGAGGTTGGTAAGGGGGGAACGATCCTGGTTTACCCAAGGGCAGGAGACACGCCTAGAGAAAATTCCAGTGACATGTAACACTGCTAGTTTTATTTTACGAATTTATGAAAAATCACTACCTTAAATAATCACTACTTTCAATTATGTTATAAGCCAGTTCTGTTTCCCTTTAGGAGACTTGTTACTGTTGCCCTTGCAATCCACGTGTAAAACCCTTCCTTTCCCATAAGGAAGGCTCTTGTAATAGCTGTGCGTTAGCCACACAGTTCTTTAATTAAATTAAATTCCTCCTTCCACCTCTCTCCTTCAGAGGCCATGCGCTGCAAAAACGCAACTCCCTCTCTTCTCTCCTTGCACACTGAATTCAAGAAACTTTCTATGAAGTGACGAGGTGACTCCAGGTATTAATCAGCGCCACCGGCTGCGGCGCAGGAGCACCAATTCGCTGAATCTCTTTGGAAGCCTTTTATCTTTAACAGTCCCCTGTATTTCAATTTCCATTTCTTTGCTTTCAGTGTAGCTGAGCTGCGGCTTGGTGATTACAAACCTGTTGTCAGTGCAGTTGGGAACCAGAGAAAACACACAGGTGATAAATATTTAAGAGCAGGAACTAGTAGGAACATCATTATAAGGTTACAAGGATGAAAAATTAAGCCTTGATTTTTATCCTCTCTTGAAAATGTTTTCTGGAAGCGCTGGCATGCATACTTAAACAAAAATAAATAAAGCAAATCAGAAGAAGTCACTGCTTCATTTTAGAAACCTTCTTCACAGAATTCTTCTAAAGCTGAATTCAGGACAAAATCCAGGAAAAAGGGGAACTACAGCGGAAGCAGTGAGTAATAATTTGTTACAGCGCGGGTAATCACTGTGGGATGTTCAGCACAGTTCTGCCGTACCCCTACACTGTACATGACATTGTTCCTGGGATCTTATGATTATATTATTACGGCTTTTTCATTTGCATTTTAGTGGATAAATATTGTGGGGACTTGACAGCCTGCTGCATTGCAGTGAATTATTTGTGAAAACAGAACTGGTCCAAAAGAAGCGCACGGACAGAAGCGACGCCGACCGACCCCGGGCGGTGCTGCGACTGCATCAGGCGCTGCAGCTGTTGCATTATCGCACCCTTTGGGCAAAACGGGTTCACACAGGAGGTTCAAAACTACACCGGACTTTAAAACCAGTCCAAATTTAACGCAGGTATCAACTTAACAGCAGGTTTCCCAGGGTGAGCTGTTTGTTCAGACTCTGTGCATGTCGTAGTCTGAGTCTGTAACTTTAAGCAGGGCAATTTTCTTTATCCTTCTGTCTTTTTTGCCCTAGGAAAAAAGACAGAAGGAAAACAGAAGAAAATCCGTTATCAATGAAAACAGAGAGATATAAAATTTCTGCCCTATGTTCTATGAAAAAGGTGGAATGGCGCTTTTCAGGAACCACTCTTACATGCCTCTGGTCACCTGCCAGTCCCATAGATTTAAATATATTTTGACTGCATATAAGTCACAGATTGGCACAAGATTGGATCTCATCCTCACAGAGGACAGTTGCATAAGGAATAATAGCCTAAAACCAAAATGATGCCTGGAGAAATAAATCTGGTATTAGGAAACATTTTTACATGAATATTATTTTCCAAGAAATCAAAAAGTAAAGTAAAAGCAAACCAAGTCCCAATCACCAAAGCAGATGCTTTATATACACACATACACACACAGATGCAGCAGAAAAAAAAATGCAGAAGTATTTGTAAGAGTCTCAAATTATATATAATGGATAGAAGAGTCTTCATATCTCTAGCTCTTTATATCTTCCTGCACGTTGAGAGAACTAATACATTATGCCATATGCATACACACACACACACACACACACACACACACAAAGCGTTTTAGAGATTATATGGAATTCACTTTTCAGGCCTGAATCCTAAAAAAGACCATAACCAGGTCTGCTTGGGAACATAGGAAAGAAACACTGCATCAGCTCTGAGCCTGCGTGTTTAAGCGTACTTACGCAGTCCTCCAGGAATTCTTCGTTAATCACCAGCGAGGGAATGGGAAAGGTCTTTCATTAGCAATCATAAGAAATAGGCACCCGCTTGGTGACCCAGCAGCTCTTGATTAGGATGGTACGGAGGGAAAGCGCACAACTCAATAGTTTAAATGCAAATCTAGTCCTCTAACTTTTTTTTGCAAGGAAGAAATAACCCTATACGTTGACAAAACAGATCGCTATGTATTTATGATGAGAAAAGGACTGCTACCTGGAAAAGACGTTTCTGCTTGGATGAACAATTAGGAAATGATGAAAGAATGGTCAAAATGAATTGGAGGCAGCAAACAAAGCAGAGCATTCATCACCACTGCTCGTTGCGCCAACCAGCAAGCTTTGAAAGTCAGCTTTCAATTCTGAAAAGCCTGATGCATGTGCTTAAAATCTGGCTCCAAGTAAACTAACAAGATTAAGGTAATTATAAGAAAGGCTAATGTCTCATCAAACTGATTAGGCTGATTATGCTCATGCATTCTGAAATCCACACTTCAAATTTATTTTTGCAATACCTAAATAGTAACTTGGATGAACAATAATCTCACGAAGATTTCATTAATAAGAAATTCCATTTAAACATCACCTTGCAACTTTTCCCAAGAAATTAGGAACAATATTAGTGTTGCTGAACAGTTCTAAAGCGCACAGATTAGCGACGTGCATTCAGGAGGTTCTCCTCTGCTTTCACACGCTGTGCAAAGTGGACGAAAACCTTTCCTACAAACTTTTGCTCAAATGGGTGCAGAATATTGCACTGAAATTTTGTACGGCTGAATTCCCCACACGTGGAGGTAAGACCACTTGCTAAACAAAAGTTAACCACACTTGGTGAAAACCACCCCGCAGGAAGCTTTATCGCAGAAATAGCACTCTAACACTTCTTTCCCCACGTTTGTTATCTTCCTCCGGGGGAAACACAGCTGCCTAGTGCCTCTCTACCCCTGCCCGGAGAGTAGGCAAGAAATTATTATCTATACTTTTGACATTAAAAATCAATAGGACAGCAAAAGAAGAAGAAAAAAATAACCCTCACAGCTTCAGAATGACTCTGAACTACAGCATAAATGGTTCAACTGTGTGCATCTCCCCTGACGAGAGCATTGAGCTCCACTCTGCCTTGCCCCCAAGCCCAGAGACCCTGCCTAACATACGAAGATTTTTGTTCTTATTTGCCAATAAAAAAAAACAAACCCACAAAAATGCCAGAAGACTAATTAAGCCAGCAAGCTCAATTATTTCTTGGCACACTCACTGTTTGGAAGAAGGTTTGAAGCAGGACCATCATACCTCCACTCAATACCAGCTCTTTTCCCACTGGAAATTGCTCCTGAGCAGCAGGAGGTGGAAATCTGAGGTCTGCAGGTCTCCAGCCACTGGACCTGCCACTGTGCCCCAACAGATGCCCCCACGACACGGCGTGTTCAACCCGTGCTGCTACAGGACTGGTGTCTAGGCATGTTTTTCTCACTGTGCTATATTTTACCTACTTTTTGTTTCCTACTCCTTCTCGCTGTATTTTTCCACGTTTTACTGTTCAGCCGTTTCTCCTGTGTACATTGTCAATGAGATCACTGACTCCCAACACAGTATTTTGAAAAAACAAAACCAAAACCAACAAAACACAACAAAACCCCAACACAAACAGCCCAACAAAAAACCCCACAAGTTCTTGAAAAACAGCTGAGGATGTAGATTAAAAGAAAAGAAAACAATTTCAGATTTGGGAGGGAGGCAGTGAAAGCCTTGAACAGGTCACTACTTTCACAAACAGAAGTGAGACATTTCTGGTTTACACGTAGAAGCACCGTCACGAGGAGACAATGCCGTCTCTTGAAGTGTTTGTTAACCCAGTGGAGGACGTTAATAAAACCCAGGGGTACGAAGCTGAAGTCATGGAAACGGCGATGAGAAATTACACTTACTATGAGTGATGATGATCAGCTGCTGGAATAAACTACAACAGAGAGCAGTGGGTTCAGCATCCTTGATGCCTGGAGATCAAGACCACCTTTCCAGAATATGTATAAACACTAACTATGCTTTAAGCGCACTTAAGCAGGCGGGTTCAGTTAGGGAAAAACTGGCAGAAAATACAGACCGTGATAAAGAGGAAGCCACATTCCAGGGCACTGCACCCCTCTAGCCTTTGGATGCATGAAATACCGGGAAGGAGGAGGAGGTCTGGAAGCCAGTGTGACAGTCTGGTGGCCCGACGCCCTCTAAGAGACCTGAGAGTCCCAGAGGTTTGCTTCCTGGGACCTGGCAACATAGTATGTAAGAAATCTGAAAATAATCACATTATGATTAACTACTAAGTACCCCACAGGGTACTAAATACCATATACTAGAAATAAAAGACCTGGTCATTTAAGGAGTTTACAGTTAAACGTTAGCCATAATGCAATGAGCACCGGTAAACAGAAGGGACAGAATGAGACGAAGCAAAAGGATGCCTGGAAGTGGTAAGTTCATTAAGTTTTAGCATGCAGGCATCTTTGTGGCTTAATTAAAGTTTTTAGGGAGTGAATTGCTTCAATTGCAGTGATCTATCATTGCATAGATCAAAAAAGAAAGGAGCTTTAATTTCAATAAAAATATTTATACACGAAACAAGCAAGACATGACCAGAATTGAAGACTGCTTACACCAATACAAACTGCTTCTTGTCAGAGCCAGGATCTCCGCACGCGTTTTCGCTGTAAGTATATCTATTCAACAGCTCAGGGATTTGGGGC